CCAAAGGGTAGTTGTGGACAATTGCTCCTCTGTGACAAGGTTTGTCCCTCCAGATACCACAGGGGGCTATCTTGTCACTCTTCCTATTCAAAGAGTGTAGAAAAGCCTTTGGGGGAATCTGTGAGGAGACATGTTCTGCAATGCATTCAGTATACTGATGAAAAACAGCTTCACTTCTTAATCATGTCTGACGCAGTCAGAGAAGACCAAATTACCCAGTATCTAAATGAAGCTGGGGCTTGGATATGACTTAATCTGGACAAGACAGTGAAAGCTGGTGGAAGGTGGGAGGCATCCAGAAGAGCTTATGTTGGCATCCCTACTACAAGGACTGAGCGTTCCATTTGTAACACGGGTGCATAATTTGGGTGGGTTAGATCCTGGGCTGAATTTATCCTTGCATTACCTCTGAGAGGTAATGAAGTATTACTAGCCCTATTATACAGATAGAGAACTGAGGCATAGGGAGGATCAAGCAATTTACCTACGGCCCACAGGAGTCTGTGACAGAATTTGTAAATGAACACGGATCTCCTGAGCCCCAGACCAATGCCTTAACTACAAGCCCATCCTGCTGCCCGTTTATCACCTTAACATTAGAGTGCTGTAGAGCACTCTATGTGGAGCTGCACTTTGGTACCATTTAGAAGCTGAAGGTGGTGCAGAATGTGGTGCCTTGCTTATTAAGAAGGGTTCCATGCCAAGAGCACATTACCCCAAGTGCTCTGGAATTCACCCTGGCTTCCAAGTGGAACTCACTGTATTGCCTTTAATCCTGTAAAGGTCTAACTGGTTTGGGATCTAGTTCCCTGGAAAGATCAGTGCATTCCTCATGTCATACTGCTGCAGCTGAGATCAATAGAGGCACTTCAGCTGGAGTCTCCATTACAATGAGAGAGCTGCTGGTAAGGCATTCTCTGGGAGGGGTCCTTGATCTCTTCAACCAATCTGCCATAGCCTAGGTCTTGTGACCTTCAAGGCAAGCTGTAACTACCCATCTATTGTCACCATCTGGGAAGAAGGCTGGAAGGAGTATAAGGAGTCTTTTATATGCAGTTAGAATACTACTTAAACTGACCTAAATCAGCTTTTCTATATATCAAATGTCACCATTTTAAAGTGCAGTCATTTTGGGACCTTCCAGGACTATATGGGAATCTCTATCCCTGGATGACATAAAGATATGCTTTCTAGTCCTGAAGAGAAACAAGGTATTGGACCTCAATCCTGCTACTGATCCAGGACTTGATACTGAACATTCTGCAATTCAGTTCAGCAATTTTTTTTTCTGGTAGAGGATGGAGGTCTGGGGTTAGCTTGCTATGTATTTTTAAGATGGTGGCTCTTCCACTATGTTAGAGGTTCTTTTTCTTTATCTCTGAAATGATTGTCTTCAATAAGTGGTGATTCACTGAACTAGCCCTGAAGCTGCTGTTGAAAGATCAGTATTCAAAAAACATCTGTGCCAGCAAGTACCAGGAGAGGGGCCTTCACATGCTGCTTTCACTTGATATTTAAACAAACGATAATCTCAGATATTTCAAACATATATTTCATACTTACATATTTTGGGACACTAGCTGTCTCTTTTGATGAAGAGCCAAAATGTGTTAATTAATATTACTGCTTAATCTAGACAAATATTTGCACTTAACTTGTGCACTTTCACTCCATGGAATATACAAATTTAGCTACCTGTATAAGGCTACTCAGACAGATTTTGAATTATTAGAAGCAACTCTTGCAAATTCATCAGGAATTTAGTGATATTTAGTATTTTTCTTAAAGTCCCAGTTCCTGCAATTACATTAGAATCTCTGCTTTATAAAGAAAATCAAGTTTCTAACCCTCATGGTTCCAGAGAAAAGCTTGAAAACATGAACCATACAGGTTCCAAATGAAAAAAGGCAAAACAGCCCAAAGTCTATTATTATTATTAAAATCTTATGATTTTGGGAACACTGACTCATGATTTTTAAACACTTGAGGTTCACAAAACAATAGAAGGGTCCAAAATTCAAAACCCTGCCACAAAAATCCAAGCCCTTCAATCAAAGTAATGTTAATATTTTGGATCTAATTTCTCAAAACATCATTAGAAATCATCAGATGAACAAATAAAAAGAACCTACTGAAATGATCAAGTTCAATCCTCTGAAAGGCATCATACATTCCCTTTTCCCCTTCCCTCTCCTCTTGAATTAAACTACATTAATATAGTAATAAACAGCCTGAATGTTGGTTTGGGCTATGAGCTGCTACAGAGGAAGTTGCATTTCTACAGGATCACATAAAGGAAAGACGACAAGGAAAGGACTAAACACAAAGTGAGTGAAGCATATAGAGAATGAGAAGATAAAGCAACAGAGAACTACTGTGAGTTAGCCCAGACAGAACTAAAAGGAAATATATTTTCTTTATAAATATAACACAAATTACCCACCAACTCTTGGTTTTATTATCAAACACACCTTTGATAGCAGGTCAGTTCAACAGTTTTGTTCCTATTTCATAGCCTTATTTAAAATTACACCACTGACATCAACTGAAGTGTGTAGCGGAGTATTTAATCAATTGCTTAAGAAAAAAGAAAACTTACGTTATTACCTATTCTCTCACACAAACACAACTAACATTTCAAGGAATCATAAGTTTAACTTATTTTAAAATTACATCACAGTGAATTTGCTTAGTATATTGGAAAATATGTTTCGATGGTTCTATTTCTTCATGATAGGTGGCAATATTTCTTTACACAGTTTGTGTAATCAAAATCCTTTCATCTCAGCAAAGATGAAATTATCCCAGTATCTGAAATTGCTTTTTCACAATGATACATATTCTAAATATGAATTATCATTTTAACCAGTATTAATTACCAATGTGTTTTCTGGCCCAAGCAGAGAGATGAATCCAAGCAATTCTAAATGTCTGTAGTTAGTTCAATTATCACAACTTACTGTAAAATGAAGAGCACTTTCTGCATTACCAGAAGCATCAGATCTTTGCCCTAAAGAGTCCTAAAGAAATCCTGCTGTTATGCAACATCCACAAAAAATGCTTCCAATGTAAGTACCTTAAAAAACCATGTACACAAATACTGGAAAGAGAGTCAAAACTGAAATAGTAACTGACAATTGCACTATGTAGAGGGAGAAATAGCTAACTTTGCAATCAATAAGAATTACGTATGTAAATGAACATTCAGATCTTTTCTAAATATGATACTTAACTTCAATAGTAGATTGCAGCTTCTCATTGTTTTGAACTTTTAGAAAGTAAAATTTTCAAGTACTGAATGAGGTAACAGCCAAACAACTCATTACAGTCAATGGGATTCCTGTGGCTAAAACGTCACGTGATGCTCCTTCTACACTTTCCCTGTTATACTCTTTAATATTACTCATTAAGGACTATGTACAGGATTTAACACCTTCTGTGACTGCAGGCCCACAGTTTGTGATTATGTGGTCACAAAGGCTGCTCCCTATTTCAGTGGATTTCTACACTCTCGGCAGTATCCATTAAGCAACTGACCAATACTAACCCTTTCCATTGGTGAATTCAGATTCTGTCTAGCACATGTTCCAACAAACACAACTCATAGGTTCTTCATCAGTCGACAGAAGGTTGGAGGCTAAAAGCTCCTTTGCTGACCACTCAGAAACAGGCCAGTCAAGGACAAAGAGGGTTGTGCAGTAATTATTCAGGCTGAAAAATTCCCCTTATTTCAGCTCCAAATGATCAAGTGAAGAAGAAGTAGTAGCCTCTACCCCACCGTATGATTTTTCAACATCAGTGACAGCTGGGGGCTCCCTGACTGCCCTTCTCCATGGCTCAAGGGTATAAAAGACCCATCCTTTAACCGAAGGCTTCATTTTTAAACAGACCTGGTATTGATGGATAATCCCATCCTTCATCCAGATAAGGTTCTTATGGATGTTTCTCCACCTGTATTGTTGTGGTTACTCACACAGTGTATTAAATTCATTGAATCGGAGAGACGAGAAGAGGAGAGGCAATCATGCACAAAACCAGATAGATTGTTTAGGGTGGGTTTACACTAAAAATACATGTGAGTCAGAGGACATGAAGCTCTGTGGTAGGAATTAAACGTGCCTGCTGCTGTGCAGGTGGAGTTGGCAGCCGGAACTTGACGGAAATCATAGGCAACGAGGGAATGCCTACCAACAAATCTGGTCCTGCATCCAGGCTGAAGTACCCATTGTAATGGATGTATGCTCTTTAGCACAAAGAAGAATTGTTCTTTCATGCACTTCTGTGGAGATACTCTGTCTGAATGCTTCACCAGTGGTTTGAAGCATGTTAAAACATATACGCTGCAACATTCAATGATTTAGCCTGGATCAGTGAGACAGCTGTTCTGTATAGTATACAGTCCTGCCTACACTATAAAAATGGAACTGTGCTTTCACAGTGTGAGGGGGCAGCCATTTTGTAACACAGTTGTAACACAGACTGACCGTTACCAACACGACACACAAGCAACCCACACCTCAAGCAACACCAACTACTTGCTAATGATATTTCTCCCTGACTTGTTCTTTCTTTTCACCTTTCCTGTGTAGGTCACTGGTTGCCTAGCCTGAACCATTAATTTTAAAAGCATTCTAAAAACATTTTTAGATAGAGGCTTAAGTCCTTCTGGTTTAATTCTTAATTATTGTCAAAGAAAAATTATATATTGAAAGATGATTCTTGAAAGTTTAAGATAATGGAGACCTCATTTTAGACTAAATTTATTCCACATTATCGTCTCTGGATTTTGGGTGGTAAATCAAAGAATCTGGACTCTATTTTTTTCTGATTCAATATTTTGTATCATCTTTGCCACATTACATAATCCACTAAGAATACCAACTCTCAGAATCTGTAGTTATGATTTGTACTCAGGAGTATTCCACAGTAATTACTAGTGTGTTTCCAAAATCATTGATTTTCACAATAAATTTAATAGTTTTTATTTTTGGTTTTTTTACCTCTCCTCCTATGGTAAGTAAGCCAGCTGAATCAAGCTTCCGTTTCTTCCGTGGACCAATAGCTGCCAATGCAGTTAGGTTGGCATCCCTTTGCCTCATCTGTGCTAGTTCTTGTTGCTGCATCTATTACATGGAAAAAATATATAATTTTAAATTTCATTCACATATCAAATGTTACTCTCAGGCCTGATCATGCAAAGTGGTGAAAGTTGAGAGTGCCCAAATGTCTCACGGGATCATGCTGTATATGGCTATGCCAGATCTTAACAACTCAAACATGCAATGTCAGGGTAAGATTTTCAAAAGTATCACAATGGCTTAGGTGCACAAATCCCATTGGTTTCCATGGGATTTGTTCTCCAAATCACTGAGCTTCCTTTGAAAATCCCACCCTTAAACATTGGAATTTATTTCATTGGCAAGTAGTATGTACTATACATCTCCAGGCTATGACTTCTATGAAGACTCTAAGTACAAATAAAAAGCCAAAATAGTACAATAATTCAAACATTTCCTTTCATTTCAAAATCTGAAGTTTATTTTGACCATTTCACCTACACTTAATATTCATTTTCAGAAAAATCCCTATATCTGAACATTAGTAAAAGTTTTTTCTGGCAACATGGTAATGAAAAGTTGAATTTCCAATTACTGTAAGGGATTAGGGTTTAGTTAACACCAGATTTAGTCACAGAATGGAGCAAGGAAAGCAACATATTTGATCTACAAGTTAGATACTATTTGTTGCAAAAAGGGGAAGAACAGAAAATAGGAAAAAATATGATAGCCTTCTGCTGAAAAGGTCAGTTTGTTTTACTCATCACACATTCTACAATCCCTTTAGAAAGAGTTAATGAGCACAAACATTTTCCACAGATAAGTGCACAAAAAGCGTAGTGTTAACATTGTACAAAAGCAATTAAAATCATGGTTAGGTAATGTAGCACATACATTTTAATTAGACACAATCATTCATGTCTCAGCATTACTTTCACATTTATTTATTTTTTGCAATGATTTTGTTTGTTCAGAAGAGGTTTTTGCTTTCTAATCTCTCATTGATTTAACTGCTCCACCTCCACAGAAGATCATAAGACACTGTTTCAAGTGCTTCAATGGTGGCTTGAGGTTTGACAGGTTGTACTGGGACAAGCACACCTCCTCAGTGACAGAAAACATGAATTGGCAGGAGTGCTTAGAAATGACTCAGTAATTATTTAACTGCAAATTGCACAGACAATGAAAGATCTGAATTTGCTGATCACTGCTGAGTGATCAGGTGCTTAAATAAACAAACAGAACATGCTGTGTGTTTTCTCATTCACTTTCTGTTTAAAAAAGCAGAAATGTATGAAATGTCTTATTTCCTGCATCATTTTGGATTTTATATTACTTCTTTTTGCAATTTATTCTAACTAGATTAATTGCATATGTTAACCTTCTTTGGCAAAGAAAGAGAGTGCTTAAAGTGTAGTATATTTAACGTTTTAAATCTGGCTATTCTTTGACATCTCCTCCTACTGTGAATTTAAGTTCTATTGTTTATTTTGCAACTTAAAGTTTGCATGATAATTTCAACACAAAAATTAAGCACATCCATACAACTCAATCATCTATAAGATAAAATAATTAAATACCAAAGTGAAACATGGGCATAATGTCTCTATGGTAGTGCAAAGGTCTATATGTACTTCCCTTTGCCAACTCATATTAGGTTTTTAGCTCAAATATCTTTGGCTGTCTTCCAGATTAAATGCCAGTAAGACAGACCTGCCCGCTTACCCTTTCAAGGTAGATAGGAACAGTGGTGAGCTCTAATCATTTACAAAGGTCATGATTGGAAGCTAGCCCGTAAGCAGTCATTTAAAATTCGATTGATCCCTATTTGTAGTCAGGGAAAGAAAATGGACATTTCAGCTGTATTGTAATTATGAGGCTTCGAGGCAACTGTAAATAGATGTGCAAATCTAGATACTGGCAAATACCTCAGAGAAGAAATTATTACTATAGTATAACACATAGCCAGGAAAGGTTGGAGATAAAACTGCATATAAAAAAGATCAATCATCTTTTTGCTAATTTGCCATGCTCACCAGCCTATAAGGGTTATCACAATTATCAGAAGTCTGCTGAATATTTAAGTTAGGGCCAACTGGCTTAGCATGATCTCAGACAAAAAGTGTAAAGCAGAGGGCTAACCCAGAATGTGAAATTTTGAACTGGAGAAGAGTTTTAATTTTATGGGAGGTTACAGTCAGAAATGCCATATGAAAGGCAACTGACATAATACAAAAGATATTATTCAAATACATCATTCAAAGTTGGAATTCCTAGACCAACTGCACCTCAGTCCTTTCTTAGGCATATGTACTATTTTGTATTACTGTATACAGTGTTAGCTTGAATGTTTAATATACGCACATAATATGACTGAATAAGTGTTCTCAGAATCAGAATTCCTTGACTTTTGTACATGCACATTCTGAACCATAAACATGACACTGCTGTAGATTTTGCATAGTGGGGAAAATGCTTCCTTACCTCCAAGTCTGCCCCGGAGCTGTTTCACAGAGCAAACCTGGGCAGATTTGGGAGCCTGCAAAGTGGATCAGCATCCATTTATTCCTTAGTTTCTTTGTCCTTTCATTTGTATTGTATTGTGTCCCTAGCCTCTGTTTGCCAGAAGCTGGGAATGAGCGACAGGGGATGGATCACTTGATGATTACCTGTTCTGTTCATTCCCTCTGGGGCACCTGACATTGGCCACTGTCGGAAGGCAGGATACTGGGATAGATGGACCTTTGGTCTGACCCAGTATGGCCGTTCTTATGTATTTTTTAAAATGAAAAGAACTATAGCTGACTGCTTGATACCATAGAGCAATGTGCCTAGTGTGTTTATTTTAATTACCACAATATTGACTGTTCAAATAAACACACAGAGCATGTGCAGTTGACTATAATATAAGACAAAGTGTGGTCCAGTGATACGATACCAGACTGAGAGTCAAAGGACATGGGTTCTATTACACAGACCTGTTCTGTGACCATGGGCAAGTTACTTCACCTCTCTGTGCCTGTTTCCCCTCCCATCCTTTGTCTATGTTGTGTACTGTAGACTATAGGCTTTGCAGCCAGGGATTGTCTCTTACTATGTGCCTTATTCATACTGCCTAGTATAATGGGGCCCTGATCTCTGTTGAG